TAAATAATAAGTAGAGAGACGTACGTTACTATATATATATATATATATATATATATATATATATATATACGTATACATACATACATACATACATATATACATACATACATACAAACATACAGTCATACATACATACATACATACATACATACATCCATACAAACATACAGTCATACATAGATACATAGATACATAGATACATATATACATATATACACACATACATACATATATACACACATAGATACATACATAGATACATACATAGTTACATACATACGTACATACATACATACATACATACATACATAAATACATACATACATACATACATACAGTGTGATTATAGAAACGTACACTGTATTCCCACTTCACTCAAAATCACTGTAAAACTGCAACTTGCACAATCGAGTACTAATAGTGCATATCACATATGCACAACAATACAAAACTCAAAAGTTCAATCAGCTGATCCTGACTCTGGCGACTCTCACTACTCATGAACACCTCCTGGGGAAAGTGAAAAGGCACTCCTTTAGGAGTCTTAGCCTGTTACCTAGTACTTTTCTTCTTTGAAAACAATAGTAGAAAAAGAATATGTAGTGGGTCTGGGAGTCGTTTTTCAATTCTTGTTTTATTGTTTTTATTTAAAAATTGATTTCTGAGCTCTGCCGCTCTTGTCGTGCCCAATAGAAATATTCACCCTTCTATCTCGTGTGTAGCCATGGCAACCTGTCACCGGATACAAAACCCAACACAAGGAGTGATGACAAGGTTTTACTTTTATAGACTCAATGATCCAACACGTACATAGCCACTCAACTCTCAAGTCTCAATTCTCAAGTCTCAATATACTGCCGTTAGTTCCCACTCTCTTGTGTAGCAGAGATAAGCTATGAACCGGAGACTCTTTACGTGCTGGTTTGTGAGTATCAGGCGAACTAGAAGGAACATACAAGACCGCCACCGAGCCTCTTCAGCAGCCACTTGCTCGTGGCCAGCTCGATATGCAATTATGATTGACAAGATCATTAATGGGAAATCCTGGAAGACCGATTGGAGATACAGAGGCAGCCCTCCTACGTCCTATCGGGCATGGGTCAAAATTAGTGTATCTCTAGCTATATGCGTGCTTATTGGAGCTATCTTAGCACAAATAAAAAGTGAGGGACTCGCCGAGCAAATGTACACAGTGTCAAGCGATGGGGTTATAGGGCGTACGTTAGCCGTGAATGAGGTGAGTATACAAATTTATTGATAAGTGTCTGAAAATAACCACATACACCTTTTATTCTCATTTGCAAAGTATCCGACATGTCGAATAATTTATAAGTACATATTTTCCACACCTCCAGCAAGAAATAACTGTCAGTATACATAGACACACCTGATCTACAAGTTCTTTATGGTTTATCACTTATAGTCGGGCATTATAAAATATATATAAACACACACACACACACACACACACACACACACACATACACACACACACA